CAAGCTTATAGAATAGAGAAAAAGAAATAGATGGAAAGTAAGTACTAACCCAGGAGGAGCACCGATAAGCCGAGCTACTGAGTGTTGCTCCATGTACTCTGACATATCGATCCTCACTAGTTGGTTTTCATCATCAAAGAGCTGTTCAGCAAGAGCCTTGGCAAGCTCAGTCTTGCCAACACCAGTTGGACCCAAGAATAGGAAAGAGCCAGTCGGCTGTTGAGGCCTGCCTAAACCAGCCCTTGACCTCAGCACAGCCTCTGCAACAGCGGTGACTGCTTGGTCCTGTCCTACCACTCTATGATGCAACCTGTCTGCAAGCCCGATTAGCCTCTCCTTCTCATTCTGGCCAAGCCTTGTGAAAGGAATGCCAGTCCACCGACTCACTACTTCTGCAATGTGTTCTGGTCCCACAGTTTCTGTCAGCATCAAGTTCTCGTCAGTGGTTGATCCTTCAAGACGTGCTATGGCAGCTTCCACTTCCTCCAGTGCCCCATAGCGCAAGTCAGCAACTCTGGCTAAATCATATCTTCTTTCAGCCTCTTGTATGGAGAAAAGTATCTCCTCTCTCTTCTGCTTGAGCCGCCTGATCTCATCAATCCTTTCTTTCTCCTTTTTGTATTTCATCAACAAGGGCTGAAGCTTGTCTCTCAAGTCATCAAGTTCTTTTACAACCTGAAACAGTATCAATATTGTCAGATTTCCCATGAGAGAGATATTAAGCAGCGCATAATTGATTCCCAGATATTCTTTTAAGGTGGGATTCTTACTTCAGCCAGTCGAGCTTTGCTAGCTTTATCCTTCTCCTTCTCAAGAGCATGAAGTTCAACTTCTAGTTGCATTCTCTTCCTTTCAAGGCTATCAATTTCTTCAGGCTGGCTATCAAGTTGGACTCTCACATTTGCACAAGCTTCGTCGACTAAATCAATCGCCTTATCAGGCAGGTGACGACCTAAACACATCAACCGAAAAGACCAGAATTTATTATCCCGCCGAATGATCCCAATATATCGATCAATTATGTGTGAAAATATACTACACTTCAATAAAATCACCAATTCCAAAATCGCTGGTGCAAATTAAAACCTGAAGGTGGAATTGAACTGTTAAAACGTACCTGTGATATATCGACTTGATAATTGAGCTGCAATCACAAGAGCTCTGTCCTGAATTCGAACACCATGATGACCCTCATACTTCTCTTTCAATCCTCGAAGAATGCTTATTGTGTCTGGAACACTAGGCTCAGCCACATAGACTTGTTGGAACCTCCTCTCGAACGCAGCATCTTTCTCCACATACTTCCTGTACTCTTCCAGGGTTGTGGCACCAATGCACCTGAGCTGACCTCTTGCAAGCATTGGCTTGAAAAGGTTAGCGGCATCCATGGACCCCTCTGTTCGACCCGCACCTAGAACAAGATGAATTTCATCAATAAACAGAATCACCTTCCCCTCAGCTTCCTCCACTTCTTTCAACACGGCCTTTAACCTCTCCTCAAATTCCCCTCTATATTTTGCGCCAGCAACAAGGGCACCCATATCCAAGGCAATGAGCCTGACATCAGCAAGATTACTTGGAACATCCCCTCTCACGATCCTCTGGGCCAAACCTTCAGCAACTGCGGTTTTGCCAACTCCTGGCTCTCCAATAAGAACAGGGTTGTTCTTAGTTCTCCGTGACAGAATCCTGACAACCCTCCTGATCTCCTCATCTCTTCCAATAACAGGATCAAGCTTTCCCGCACCTTCCACAAGATCTCTCCCATAAGTCTTCAATGCCTGAAAATTAGTATCCCCAGAAGCATTCTCCACCTTCTTCCCTTCCTTTCCACGGAGTTTCTCTACCTCAGATTTCACTGTGGAAGCGGAAACTCCGACTTCTTTGAACAAATCTCTTATTTGGGAGTCCTCGAGAAGGCCCAAGATCATCTGATCAACAGCTAAATAGGAGTCCCCGCGTGATTTTTGTAACGCTTGAGAACGCCTTATCACCTTTATAAGACTAGTGCTGGGCGGGACTTCATCAGGAGGTGGAGACTGAGATGGGAGTTTCTTGAGGACTTGATTGAAAACTCTTTCTGCTGCCTGAGCAGTATTCTCACCATCACCGGCATTGGCAACCGCTTGTCTCATTATTCCACTAGGGTCCGAAATAAGGGCCACTGCAAGATGCAATGGGGTTATCTGGGCATGACCAGCACCCACTGTCAATTCGTGAGCTGTTGCAAGGGCCTCGTTGGTCTTGTGTGTGAACTTTCCAGGATCCATTGATTCTTTAACTTCAACGTCCTTTCTTCAAGCGAACCAAACGACAACGGTTTTGGAACTGATCATAAGAGATAAACATGACAGCCATGTAAGATTTTTCCAAGAATATACAATATAGTTGTATTACAACTACTAGCCACTAGCAGGTATACTTGCAATAAGAATAAAAAAAAAAAAAAAGGTTGCTGTCGCCGTTCGGAATGCGAAAAGCACAGAACAGAAAAGCGCTAAAACTAGAAAATGAGATTCAACGAGAAGGAAATTGTAATTCTAATTTCTGCGTACCTGATCAGTTAACGAAAAGGATGTCTTTCTTTCAGCTAGCTCCTTGCCCTAAAACTAGAGCTGAATCTTCGATTGTTGAATCTGTTTCCGAATTGAGTTTGATCCTCTCTTTTCTTTTTTTCTTTTTTCCTGCTTGGAGTGAAACAAAAACGAAGGGATGGAGGTGTGTTTTGAAGAGACGAGAGAGACATCTGGAAACGAGTAGATACGAGGCACTAGAAACTACTAGAAAGATATGGAATAAACATGCTCGCTTGCTCTTACACCTCTCCCCTCCCGTCTTGTCCCTACAGTAATAACTAGTCGTAAATTTATCTTTTTTTAAAATAAAAAAAACCTCTGGCTAGGTTATTTTCTTAAAAAATTAAAAATATAAAGTAAAAATATATTTAATTAAATAAATTAATAATTTATGTAAATAAAAAAAGTTAGCATTAAAAAAAATTGAGACATAAATAATGGCCAATATACTTAATATCACAATAGAAGTTATTTAATACAAATTATTTACTCAATTGTGAGTTTATTTATGAAAATTAATTGTTAATAAAAATTAATATACACATAAAATTTATTAATTAAAAAATTATATCTGTATAAAAAAATATTTTTTTAATTTTAAATATAAATTTAATCTATATAAAATATAAAAAAAATATAGACGAACCACACTAATTTCATAAAAAATTCAACACACTTAATATAATAAAAAAATAATTTTTATTTTAGAAAGTATAAATATGTTTAAAAAATCACTTAAAAGAGATATTAATAAAAATATAAATAAAAATATTATTTTTAAATATAGATATAAAAGGTTGTAATTTACCAAAAAACAAAATTTAGTACTATGAGCTTGATAAGCTAAGCCTAACACCTAACTCATAAAAAAATTCCCTCTCATGTAGTCCTTGATTTTTTAAAAATAATAAAAAAAAATAATGCATTATTGACACTATTCTTTAACAAAAAATAAATGATGCTTCATCTAAAATCTTCAAAATTTGATTATTGTAGTGATTGAAAAAATAGAGTTGCTAATTTTTTCTTTAAAAAAAATATTTTTAACCAAAAACATTTAAAAAAAATTCTAAAAACCTTGTTAAATAAATTTATAACCTCCAAAAATAAAATAAAGATCTTTAAAACCCAAAAAAAAAAAACATAATCTCAAGCTCATATCATTTTTTTCATATATTTTCAAGTTCCAAAGATATCTAATTAAAACTCTTTTTATAATAAGGAATTATTTAGTATAAAAATCAACTATTTTAATTATTAGAATCATTACTATGATATTTTTTATATCTAGATCAAAATTCAGCAAGATTTTCTCTTCCCTTACATCTAAAAAAATTAAAAAATAATAAAAATAAAAATTGATATCAAAATTAATTTTTTTAAAGTAAAATCATTGATCAACTAATGAATTAAAAAGATTAGAGATCTAAAATGTAATTTTTAAATAAATTTTATATGCCATTTGATTCAACATTTATTTTTTAAAAAAAACTATTAAGTGCTCAAAGGTCCAATTATATATAAAAAAATTAAAATTAAAAAAATATTACAATCAACATTAATTATGAAAAGAGGAGGAAGATCTACAATAAAAAAGTCACGCAGTTTATATTAGAGACAATAATGAAAGTATGAATAAATAATTAAATCGGTGAGTAGAAAAAAGTCACAGAATAGAATCTCCCCGACACACCTAGAACAAAATACCCTTCCAAGTTTCAAGATTAAGAGATTGTGCCCCACGCTCCTTTTCTAACATTTCACTATCTTAAACAAATATATAATATATATTAAATTAAAATAATATATAATAAATTTAAAACTAACAAATAAAAAAATTATTTAAAAAAATAATCAACCAACAATCTAACTTCCTTTAGATATAATATATTGAAAAAGATACATTTTTCCTTATACAATTAATCATTTTACATGAATTTTTGCATACTATTTAATTTTTTAATAATCATAATATTAGATAATTATTGTTTAACTCTATAATTAAATTTAAAATTCTCTTATTAATTCTAGTAAACAACTCCGTCACACTATATCGCTCATGTTACCATAACAAAAAAAATTTAAGGAAAAAGATTATTTATAATAAAAAATAAATAAAAATATCAAGTTAAATTACAATAAAATATGATTATATAGGAACTTAATATTGTATTCTTAAAAAGAAGGGTTACCTAGTTATTTTAAATAATTATTTAATCTTCTAAAATCAATTGCAATTAATATTTCTAACAAATGGAATTACATAGAAAATCTACTTAGACTAAAATGAAACCCTCCAAAATGCTTATCCTCCATTTTCATTACATGTATACATAAATAATACAATGGTTCGCATTAAACTTCGTGTGGCTTCATCGGATGTTGTCATACTATTCACAGACACCATGTTGTCAGCCAAGGTAAAAAACGCTTTCGTTTTGGAGTACAAAAGCCACGGCGGCTTCGGGCTCCAAAACTTTCCTGCATCTCTCTCTCTTTCGATTCAAAGCCCTAAATAATCAGAAGAAGAAGAGAAAAGATGGAGATGGCTCCAAAGTGAATCGGAAACTGTGTGTCCGAATTGAGATTAATTTTTACTGTTTCTTGGAAATCTAATAAAGATTGATAGAGGTTGGTGTGTTCGTTCATCCCTTCCATTTTTTCAATTTCTTTTTATGATTTCCGTTATAATAATAAATATCATATGTTTTCTTCTCTTCTCAGCCAAAATGTCTATGGCTACTCGTATTCACTTAAACTCCCTCTCTCTCTCTCTTTCTTGTGTAGCTCCCTCCACCAGTGGAAGGAAGGTTGGTCTCTGTGAAGGTGTGATAGAAATATTCTTTCGCGGACGCATTTCCAACCACCTTTACTGTTGCGCCACTTGTTAGTGTTCCCGGCAATAGTAATTTTTTTGCTGAAAAATCTTGCATGAGAGAAAATGGATGGAAAGTTGGAAATGTCCCTCGATAAGCTTCCTGTCAAGCGCTTGGAATCCATCGAAGAAAATGGCGTCGAACGTTTTCCTACGTATGCTATTTCTTATCGCCTTCATACCTACCAGTTGTGTTTTCTTAGCTATCTGTATTGTCATTGTGTATGTAAATGAAAAGTAGTTAGGTCCGATTAACTCCATTGACCATAGTAAGAGCTGTTAAACTTGAGCGTCAATTAACAAACATGGAGTCTCAAATCCTCTATGTTAAGGTTAACTATGTTGTTCTCTTCATTTATTCTGTAGTAAATTAGGTTTCAGGAAGATATAGGGAACTAGTGAGAAATAGATTTTATGGTGTAGTGATGATTAATGTTTCTTCGATTTTTTTTTTCCGGGGGTTACAGTGATATTGGATATGATGAGAAGCAAGTGTCGCTAATTCGACGAATAGATTTTGCTTGGGCGTTGGAGAAAGAAGACAAGGAGAAGAAACAGAAGAAAAAGCAGAAGAAGAGCTCTAGAGAGAGCTCATCTACAACAACACCATGGCCATGGCAAAACATGGTGGAGAACTTGCACTTAGCTCATCAAGAACTCACTGTCATTGTTGATCTTATCCATACGGTGAGAGTCATCATTATTTCATCTGCAACTCATTGTTCCTGTATCCTCTTTCTATTTACTTTGTGATTTTTGTACAAAGTTCCTGAATTGTTGTTGAAGAGCCATTCTCTTTTGATGAATATGCACTTCAAGGAAGATATTTCTGACTGCATTATGAACCATTAACTCAGTGTAACATGATTTGTATATTTCTGTGACTAAATATGAGCCTTTTGGATGGGCATTTTGTGCTAGTAGAATTTGGGTTGTTCAGGAAGTCTGGGAAAGCTAAGAAATTGATTGGACACAAATTGTATTTTTTTTTTATTAGGAGTCAGGATAAAAATGTTAACAACTCTAATGAGACTTTTATTTGGAGTACGTGTGGATGCTATTTTTCAGAAGAGTTGAAAATGTGCTGCTTGTTAACAACCTGTCATGTAGCATGAAAGTTTTTGAATATTTTGTACTTTACTTATAAAAGCATAGAGAGTTTTGATTATCTTCATTGCTTGGTATCGGTTTGTTTTTGTTTGGCATGCTCTCTTCTCAAGCTTTTTGGAAAAGCATGATGATGCCTTACATGTGTATATGAATTAGTTTGCTCTGTGTTTTTTTTTTTTTTTAAATAATGTATAGGTTGAAGCTAATGATGCTGTAACAGTAGCTGGGATGACCAGGCCAAAGCCATTACCCAATGAGATTCTGGCTGACCTTGCTGTATCAACAGCAACGAAGCTACAGTGCTACCGGGTATGTTTTTCCTCTTTTCTTTCCCTTTTGGGGCAGTATGGAAGGAAGATGGTATGCAGTAGCTTTATTGCCCCTTCTCCTTCCAATTCCATGTGATTTACAAATCGGGCCTCGTGTTTTGTCTCTAGAACTGCTAACAATGATGACTTGTTTTTTTTTTAATTGATTTCTTTAAAGCTTCCTTTTATTTCCTGACATTCTGATTACATCTTTTAGTTGTTGACTTGTTCCATTTATTTCCTTGAAAGAATCTTGGTAAATATTTTAAGCAGTCCGCCAAAGCTTTGGAACAGCAAGTTGCCAGGGAAGCAAGATTTTATGGTGCTTTAATCAGGTGTGTTTGCTTTGTTAATCTCTAAACGTTGAATTCATCACTTGGTTATAATTATTGTACTGGAAAGAAATGGTGGATGTATAAGTTCCTTTTGCTTCTCTCCATGCAAACACTATATTCTGAGGCTGTGTTTGAGGAGTACCATGTGAGCTTATTATCTCTTTCTGTCTCTTTCTTCTGATATCGGATAGATTACAGCAGAACTGGAAAGTCAAACGGCAGCGTGTGGCAGCAATTGCTCCTGGAAATGAAGGCTTCATGATTGATCTTTTTGATAATTCATTATATGATTCAGTTGCAGTATTCCATCCATCTTCTCTGTCCACAATTCGCATTGATCATGACTCAGACGGCATGCTAGCCATAAATTTACCTTCAAAATCCTGTCATTCTCTTCTTTTTGGTTTTCTCAGTGGGCATTCTAATGTTCCAAAGAAATCCAATAAGATTAAAACCCATGGCTCACTCAAGAATCCATCTAAAAAACCTGAGAAAGAATCTTTAAGTGATAATGAATGTGTGAAGGATACACACTTACTGCTTCGTAAGGTTCATCGAACCATTTTTGATGAACAGGTAGCTTCTCTCTTTTTATCTTTCTGATGCTGCTTATCCATTTCAGTTTTATAAACCTTCAGTTCTTATGGTTCCAGGTGTTTGATATGGTGAACCGTGGTGCAGTTAACCAGTCATCTGGACTCAATGTTACTGGAATACAAGAAAATTATCTACAATTGTGCATAGGTCCTGGCATTTCTATATTTATATCCATTGTGCCATCTGATCAAGGTGATCAAGCAATTGATAGTGAAGGCCCGGAGAACTTAGAACCTGCAGTTGTACCTTTAGACTCGTTTGACGGAGTGAAGTTAGCTGAAGAAAAGCACAACAGTCTTACTAAAAAGCCTAGTTTTCCTAACTGCATTACTTATGAAATATATCTCAAACAGATATTTCATGAGTATGTATTTGTAGAAGCAAAGGGTAGACCTTCTTTCACTAGTACTCGCATGCCTGGTCAACCAGCAAATGATGGATCTGGTCTTCTCAGTCATTTCTGTTTGTCTCTCTCTCATAGAATAATTTCGAACAAAGTTCTTATGGAGTTGGAAAACGTGGTATGTCCAGATTACTTGTTAGGCATGGATTAATCCAAAGTTTTTTGACAGTGATGCATTGTTGAACTTCTCCTTGGTTTCTATAGGTTTGCAGAGTGCCATATCTTCATTTGATATCTCACCCCACTTGGCATTCTCGGTCGTCTGCATGGACAATCTTTATGAAGATTCCTCCGTCCATTCTCCATGCAAGCTCTCAAGCCCGGACGCCGGACATCCAAAACATGAAGAATGTTGTTAAATCAGAGTTTTGGACTAAGATTGTGGTACATGATGATTGCATTAACATTGAAGCAGAAGGAGCTCCTAATGTTGTTGGACTATTTAAAGACAGTTCTGATGATATATGTTCTACCAACAAATATGACTGCAACTTGGATGATCTTCCTGTGATAATCCTGCAACAGGTTTGTTGCCACATCTTCTGATTGTGTCTCCTGCTTCTATGATGTTAGGAATAAATGTAGAAGTCAAACTAGACTCTGCCCTGCTTTTATATTGATCTGAGCTTCCCCAGGTAAAAGAAGATTCAGAATTTAGAGTAATAAGAAAACGCAGTTGATGTGGAAGTTCTTTACATCTTTTCTGATACTAAGAAGCTGGAATGAAACACTGGTGGCAGTTAGTAGACTTCACTAATAACTTTAGTACATGTCTTAAAAGGTGGTTATTAAGCTTGTTATGCCATATTTCCAACCTTAGAATAAAAAATTACCATAGAGGAGTCAGGGTCTCAATTAAATCTCCCTGTAAAAGAACACAACAGGTCATCTTTGTATGCTTTTTGCTGTTATATCATGTTTGGCATTTTTGTTGTTCTGTTATTTTATTTTATTTTATTTTCTGTGGTTTCCTTTTTCTTGTCTTCTATCAAAATAAATGTGGTGCAGTTCATACATCTCAGTTACTTGAAGAAGCATTTGTATAGAAGAACCCTAGGCAAATGGACATTAGAAGATGTAGCATTGTTTTGACAACCAGGGATTCTGTTTTCAATTCATACATCATGTACTGTTGTCCTTCACTCTTTATGTGTTTTTTTTCTGTTCCTGAAGAATGACTGGCAATGAGGATACACATATCCAGATTTACTGATTCTCAATTTGTTACACATACACAGATTTACTGATTCTCAATTTGTTAATTTCTTGTCCTGGGTTTGTGATAGGTTGCAAGCCAGGTTATTCGCTGGCTTCATGAGGAAGCACTTGCAGTGGGAATAAAAGCAAATCGTGACTTTTTGTGTTTGTCCTTTGAGTTGGACCAGGGTGAGATTCTCAACCTCGTGGCACATGTGGACCCAGAAGATACTCAAGGATGCATCTCCTGGTGGTTGACAATGGAAGACGGTTTTGCTGAGGAGAAGAAACTTCATATGAACATTGCGGATGGTGCCTCCGAATATAGGAAGTTCTTGGGATATTTACCGTTGGATGTGCTATACTCAACACTGATGGATTTAGTTAGTTTGTGTGGTGGTGGGAGCCATTGAGAAAGCACGTCTTTCTTGACTGATTAATTGAAGAGACTTCAGAGACCACACTATTGTGCATAATTTTGCTGCGGAATCTAATTTTGGACGCATAACCATGAACTGGTCATTTTGAAGTCCATACCTCGTAGAGGTAATTATTATTGTTTTTAGTGACACAGATAAATCTGAATGGTAGAGATGGTCGTCTCCATGGTCTAATGGAGTGAAAATACAACCTTCCATGATTCCCTGCAAGCAGCCTCGAAGTTTTCCATAATTCATGTTTGTTGCTAGATTTCGTAGAATTATGTTATTGACCTGTCTTTGCCCTGTATAATATGAGCTTACAAGTTTCTGGAAAGATTTTAGCTTACTATTTCTTTCTTGTGTATGTATTTATTTATCTATTTTTTTCCCGATGGGGCTTACATGAAAGCTAACAGGCATGCTACCCAAGTGAGAAATCCCACAAGCAACGGAGAATGAGATCCATGTGGACAGCGGGAAAGAGGAGACAGATTGACACCAATGGTCTCTGAGCATTGATGCTCAATTCTGGCGATCTCTTGACAGGCGTTCCTTGGAGCGAATGGAATGGCTAATCAGCATCCGCTGAATCTTGGTTTTTTTTTTTTTTGGTTTTTAATTCCTCTTGCCGAACGAGAAATGGTACGTGGTTGGATAGCACATTGTGCGATTGTAATAGGATTTTATTTATTTATTATTATTACTAGTAATACTATTTGTTTTTAGTACCGCTTCATCTTATTTATACTGCTCCTTTATTTTTATTATACTGAATGTTCTCAAATTTGAAAGCTAAATATAAAAAATTAGCCCTTTTTTTTTCAATAAACAACATGGCTTTACCAAGTTATAGATCAACATGACATTTTTGTATTTTTTTTTTAAAAAAAGTAAAATTGTTATGTTCAACATTGAGGGAAGTCATTGTTTTATTTAACGTCTAGATAAGATTTTATTGAGAAGAAGACAACCTTATAATTGTTCCTTCCCCCGCGTTTCTTTATAAAGTTCAGGGCTTTCATGTAAATTTGGTAATATTTGATAAAGTTATATATTCTTTGTTCCTTTTTTTCAACGAGAAGAAACTACGGCTAGAACTAAATCTTGAGCAAATGCACGTATCATCTTCATATAATCAAGCAAAATATGGATGTTTCTAGATTTCAAACTTTAAATATGTATTTATTCCAAGCAGTACCACGCTAGAAAGAAGAATAGTTAAGAAAAAAAACAAGAAGAAACTGAAAACAAGAAAGTACATAAAGCAAAAAATCAAGTCAATAAAAGGTATAAGTTACTAGGAAAAGATAAATTGAATTGAATAAATGAAAATAAATTGTATATGTGTAGCTAACCATCTTTTCCAACTACATGTATTCCAAAAGGCATGTTTGTTTTATATTTTAAAGATGTTTTTTTAAAAAAATAAAATATTTTATTTTTTTCTTTGCTTCAAATTAATTTTTTTTGGTGTTTTTAAATTATTTTGATACGCTAATGTTAAAAATAATTTTTTTAAAAAAATATATATTATTTTGATTCATTTTCAAGTGAAAAGCAACAGTAATCACATTCTCAAACACTCTTTTAAAACCCAACCCAACCCAACATGATGGGACTCGAGACTTAGGTTGGGCCAGGCTTTAACAAAATATAAGAATTGATCTGATGTGATTAAGTCAAAAATCTAGGTTGACTCGTGACATAGTTTGTCCGGAAAAAACTTAGTCAAAACTCATTGATTTTATTTATTTATTTATTTATTAAAATTATATAATTTTATTTTTTTGTAAAATAAAAAAATTAGATTTACCCGGATCAATCCACTTAAACCATGACCCAACACTTGCTCCAGGTTATGTTTAAAAACTATGACTAGATGGTTTATTTATGTTAGTACATTGTTTGAATTCCATCAAAACATATAATTCTAATCATATAAGGAAACCTTTATTAGATAAGGAGGCATATGGAGTCCTAATATAATCTAAACTTCTCTTTTATGTAATTATAAGAATCATAATTATGCTAAAACACTTAGTTGGTTTAACTCATCAAGAATTAACAAGTTTTGTGGAGTCTTTTACACTTTATTTTTTATTCTTTATAATTGTTAGGTGGAGATTATGTTACTTATAGTTTATATATGATCATTGTGTCAAACTTAATTTCAAACTTGATCTTAACTTTTCTAAGAATAGTTGATTTGACTATAGATTTCTGAATTTTTATATCCATGGGTTTGCATTAGTTGGTATTAGAGGAAAACTTTAAACCATGCTATATCCTTTTTATCTTCAAGTTTTTGCATACTCCATTGTTATCTAATTCTTTATCTTATTTAAAAACTAGTTGTGGTATCAAGTCAAAAAAAAATTGTGATTAAAAAAAGAATAAAGAAAATCGAGAGAAAAAAAAATTAGGGCTTGCTACAAATCTTGATTCAAAAAAACATAGAGTTCGGCCACTTGCTTTAGATATAAAAAGAGAGAGAGAGAGAGATGGATTGATTATTCATAAATAAAAATTGTGTGTAAGAGTTTGCTCTTACTCTTAGTACCTTTTGGAACTACTCTAACTGATTAAAAAATTAACCAAGCACTATGGCATCTTTTATACCTTTTGTTCATGTTTTCATATAGGTATTAGGTGGGGGTTCGATTAATTATAATCTTCATATCTTAGTACAGGTTATCGTTGCGTCAAGCTTAATCACAAGCCTGATTTTAGCTTCTTTGAAAATGATCAATTTGACTATGGGATTTTGAATCTTTATACCTACAAGGTTCACTTCAATTGGTAGCAGAGTAATGGCCTAAATCAAGTTAATCCCTTTTATCTTTAAGTTTTTTACATTCTCTGCTATTGTCGAATTCTTTATCTTCTTGAGATATCAAGTTAAAAAAAAAAGAAATTATTTGTGATCTTGATTAAATAAAGTATTATTAAAAAAAGGAACAAAGAAAAATCACAAGAAAAAAATCTTTCAGATTTGCTGCAAATCTTGATTTAAGGAAAAAAAAATCCAAACACTTTACTTTAAATATGGAAAACAAAAATCTTGATACTTAGGGTTTTTTTATAGATAATCTTGATTTGGGATATTATATGTTTACTTGGTCGAGTTTCTTGAAAATTACAAAGAAATAAAAATAAAAATAATAAGTAGTTGTTACGTCATTGTTTTTTTAGTTTCGACCACTATATATGTCTTTTGTTATCTTGAGTTATTTAAATATTATTTCATTAGTTTCTTATGTTTTGTAGTCTTTTATTTTGTGTATTTGTATCATTCATATTTTGCATAATTCATATTGATACTCATGTTTTTGTATTGATAGTTTTTAGTATTTATTGTTTCTTGAGTCTTTATATTATTTGATTGTGCCATTAAGATATTAATCTTTGATTTTTTATGAATTAGTCCTTTAAATAACTGAAATCTTGAGAATTGAGTGGTAAAAAGTAAAGTTGAACATATTATAGTGAAAGACCAAGAATTTATGTGAAATATGAGAGGAGTGATATCTATTGAGTGTAAATATATGAAAGAGTG